TAACCTTATTTATAATGTGATATTTGATGTGATCATCGAGTGTATTAGTACACGTTATACTATAGATGAACCATTTATTTTACCAAAAAAAGAATCGCATATAAATTTTGTATGACCCGGAATCATAAAATTTACTGTAATTTCTTCATACCAACCTAACATTACTAACCAACAGTAAAAAAAAAGTGATAAATTATTTTTATTTTGACCGCTACAGTTGTCACAAGTAATATGCAACTTTTTTTTTCCTTCACGAGCAAATCTTTGAAGAGAGTGATAAACCATGTTAAGTGTAGTATTTGCTCCTTTAGAAATACCTTTTGGAAATTCGTCTTCTCCTATTACAAAGTTTAATTGAGAATTTTGACCACCTTCTGTTTTACATATACCTAATAAAGAAACTGAAAATGGATTTTTAAAATAAATTGTTCCTACTTGTGTGGTGAGTATGGAATTGATATACTTTGTGCCCAATCATAACAAATATATGCAATTGATAAATCTTTTGTGCTTTCGTTTATATTGTTATTGTAATGTTGTCTTTCCCGATCTGCCGCTTCATGGTGTTGATCATATTAAATCTTAATTTGATCGTATTTATCCTTATCAGATTTTGCTACTAATAACTTTGCTTTAAAGGCTTCACAAACTTCGCAAAGATCGCTCGCAGGTGATTGAAATTTAAAATGAGGAATTGTTTCTTGCCAGAGTTTTCTAAAAGTAGAGTAAGAGATAATTTTTTCATCTTGATTATTTTCGCTATAAAAATATTTCTTAAATTCATCATAAACAGAAACATAAGTGCTTCCAGTAGATAGATAAATAAATGGCTCAGATTTATTTTTATATCTCATTAGAGACGGAAGTCCATTAATAGTTCCATATTGTTCTAAAAAATGTTTAACCGGAAATGTAATACTAGAATCAAGAAATACTTTACTTTTTATTTTAGGTACATGACCAGTATTCCCATGAATTCTTTCTGTTATACCTTCATTCTTTAAATGTTCTTGCATTGCTGAAAGAAAATATTCATTTATCATATAGAGTTTTAAAAATGCAGGTTTACAAAGAGGAAGAGAATAATTATAACAATATCTATAATAATGTTTTTGATGAACTTCTACTTTATCATCTGAAATCTCAAAAGCCATTAATTGTGCTTTTAAAAATAATTCAAGTTCAGATTTTTCTAATGCTCTAACTTGAAAATATCTTTCAAAAAATCTTTTAAATCCAACTTTTTCGTAGCATGTTCTAAGGTCCTTTCTGTTGGATGCACGTCGACATGTGCAATTTGATTGTTCAAAAAATTGCATTAAATCATGAACGGTATCAAGAACCAATTCATTATCTTCATATTCTTCTAATCCCAATTCGATTAAATTATATACTGGTCTTAAAGAAATTGAATCTTGGTCTAAATTTTCTATTACTAATCTTAAAAAAAATCATGCAATTTAAAAAAAAAAAAAAAACAATTGTGCAATAAAAATCATACAATTAAAAAAAAAAAAAAAAATTTGTGTGATAAAAATTATACAATTTAAAAAAAATTTTGTGATAAAAATATACAATTTAAAAAAAAAAAATTGTAAGATAAAATCCTACAAGTTAAAAAAAAAAATATGCAATTTTATAAAAGTTTTTATACTGTTGGATAAAAAAAAATATAAATAAATAAACCGGAAAAAAACATGAGAATGCCTATCGTTATAGTTGCATATATTCCAAATTAGTACGAACCTGAAATAACATTATGAACAAGCACATACGTACTGTGCGTATATAACATGAAATAGACCTTATTTTGTAGTGATTGATATGATAGCTATTGTAAGAAGGTAATTTGGGCATTACAAACATACAAACTACTATGAAAACAACTCAAGATACTGATATCTACGATTGGGTTTAGAAATACCTTGGCATCGAGTAAGTCTTTATTAGAGACCACGGACATATACGGTCGCATAATATGCGCATAAAATGCGATTAATTGTTATTGTTTTTACAAGATTTAT